AAACTTTCCCCAAACTTGCTTAATGCGGGATGATTTATTTGAGTTGGAGCTGACCTCTCTTGTCTCGCCATCCTAGAGTTAGGATATTTGACAGTAATGAAGAGTGATAGATTGCTCCCGCTCAGCTAAGCAGCTGATGCATTAATTATAAATTGCGCTATGGCTAATATAAAGTTTGCTCTGGTGTGGGGAGGTTGGGGAGCTGGAGGCAGTAATTTTGCGGAGGCGGCCGAGGGGCACGCAGCACCGGGCGCGCAGCAGTGCAACACAATGGGTTTACTGCATCCAAAGGCGGCCATTTTGTTGCAGTTGCTATTTTATGCTATGTGGACATATAGATATAGACACATACGTGCAGGGAGCGCACTCCCCCCCCTCCCCGGGATGCGATGTGCTCGGGTGCTGAAATTCAATCCGTGCATTTATCTGTTTTGTGTGTGCGTGCGTGTGTTTTTGCTTTCGCTGTTCTGGCGGTGGTGCTCTGGGGTGCGTGTGCGTGTGGTGGTGGTGTTTTTCTTTTTCTTCTTTTCTTTTTTAACAGACCCCCTTGAAATCCCCGATAGCGGTAGCGGTGGATCTAGGCGGCTGAGGACGGCTTACACCAACACCCAGCTTTTGGAGCTAGAGAAAGAATTTCATTTCAACAAGTATCTCTGTAGACCAAGGAGGGTTGAGATTGCAGCCTTGCTGGATCTGACTGAGAGACAAGTCAAAGTCTGGTTCCAGAACAGGAGGATGAAGCACAAGAGACAGACCCAGTGCAAGGAGAACCAAAACAGCGAGGGGAAATTTAAGAGCCTAGAGGACCCCGAGAAAGCGGCGGAGGAGGAGGAGGAGGAGAAATCCCTCTTCGAGCAAGCCCTCAGCAACGTCTCCGGCGCTCTCTTGGAGCGGGAAGGCTACGCTTTCCAGCAGAATGCCCTCTCCCAGCAGCAGGCACAGAATGCGCACAATGGCGAGTCCCAAACTTTCCCCGTTTCGCCTTTAACGAGCAATGAGAAAAATCTGAAACATTTTCAACATCAGTCACCCACTGTTCAAAACTGCCTCTCAACAATGGCCCAGAACTGTGCAGCTGGCCTGAACAATGACAGTCCTGAGGCCCTAGATGTCCCTTCTTTACAGGACTTTAACGTTTTCTCCACAGATTCCTGCCTACAGCTTTCAGATGCAGTTTCCCCCAGTTTGCCAGGATCTCTGGACAGTCCCGTAGATATTTCTGCTGACAGTTTTGACTTTTTTACAGACACACTCACTACAATTGACTTGCAGCATCTGAATTACTGAGAAATTAAAGACGTCCTCTCCAAGGGTCCTGCTTTCTCCTTCTTCTTCTTCTTCTTCTTCTTTATTTTTTCCGTTAATTAATTTTATTTTTTTTCCTCCCTTTTCCTGGTCAGTATTTTCTGTTTATTACCTCCTTCTGCTGTGCCATTTTGCCGTTTCTTACGAAGTTTTAGTTGTGTTCAATTTTAACCTAGCCACATTCTAGGTCCTTCTATGAAAGCAATATATGAGGTCTGTAAGAAAGTGATCATATAGGAATCGTATCTTCACTTTCTTTTTATTTTTGTATTGCATTAGGATGCGTTGTCATAAGTATTTTTGGTAGAATAAATTCTTGTTTGCTACAAGGAGCTTTCTCTTTTTTCTTTCTTTCTTTCTCCCTCTCTCTTTCTCTCTCCTTTCAAGACTGATAACATGACGGGTATTTCTCCCCCTCCCTTTGACTCTTAATTTACTAATAATCAAAATCCAACATTCTGACTATGAGCTCTCCCCTTTTGGCAATTTAGGATATTTATTAGAGAGGAAAAACACGTTCAGATTCTTTATTGCAAGGGTTCTCACAAGGTAAAAAAAAAACAAACCAAAGAAACTAAAACCATTCACAGCTTTGATGGAGACCTCTTCCTTTTAATGTATAAATGTAGCATCTTATCTCCGTGGGGATACAAAGCTTGGAAATGCTGAGCTGTAACAAAAGAATGAGCGAGCACTTTCTCTGTTATAGGCAAAACATAAGAGAGACTCAGTAGGATAAGCGTCTCCTGCAGAAACCAGCCTGTTACATACACGAAAGGCTTTTTTTGGGAAATAATCCTGTTTTTCTAGAAAGTAGTGCTTAGCAGCCAGCAAGCTGCTTCAGGAAGCGTATCTTAAAAAATATCAGAGCTCACAGAGAATGCGCTTGGTTACTTCTCACGTGCTGAGCGGTCCAAGAAATCGGCCCTATAAGGAGAGAAAACGGAGAAGTTAGTGCCTGTAGAATCAAAAGGGTGGCAGAAACGCAGGGGGGGGAAAGCATTTAGGGAGGAATCAGCCCCTCCACTCGGTCCTTTTCAGGGGCGGTGCGGGGGCACAGCCGAAGATATTTTGCTGTTTAAACCTTCTTGTGGGGTGAAGGACTGATAACGAAAAGGGGAAACTCTGACTTTAAAGTTACAATTTCCTCGGGGCTCCCCACTTTCTGCTGGCGGCAGCAGAGATGGGCTCTCGGAAATCTCCACCAGATTGCCTGCCACCCGGCTAGCGGCGTTGCCGGACCCCAAAGCGGAGGATGAGCCCCGTCCTTCGGGCGAAAACCGAGCAACAGATGCCAGCGGGGCTCTGCCGCTCCGGGGCCAGGGGATCCCGGGCGGGTGCGATCGCGGCTCCCCTTGTGCGTGCGAGTGCGTGTGAGTGTGTGTGCGTGCGTGGTTACATTATGCAGGCGAGTGGGGCTTGAGCGGGGGTTTGTGGCCGGGGCTCTGCTGCCTGTCCATGCGAGGAGTGTCGTCTCCCAGCTCTGCAACACGTTGCGGAGCTGGGATGCGTGGGTTATAGCTGGAAGGGCTGAACGCAATTCTTCCGAAAGTCATAAATCAAACTCTTTCTATGAATGAGAATGTCATCAAAGAGATCAATTGCAGGAACACATGCACAAATAAAAATCCTCTTACGTATTTGCCGGGGCTGGGGATCCCCGTCTAAAACCATTAAGTGAGAAGGCGTTTAGTCATAATTCATTTTTATTGCGCTTTTAAAACAACAGCTTGGCTGAGCTGCGGACGCGGCGAAACCTCGGCCCTGCTTCTTGTCCTTCTCTCTGCTCCAGCCCCGTCCCTGCGGAAAGCGAGCAGCCTCACCGGCATTTTAACTCCTCTGCCACTGGGTTAAATTGAACTGCAACGTGCACGTACGGGTTGGGGTTTCTTTTGTGCCCAGATTTCTGGATGCTGACAACGCTTAAAAAACCCCAAAAAACAAAAAACAACAAAAAAAGAGGAAAATAGGCTACAAGATTTAAACTTCTCGCAAACTCCGTTTAAATAAATGGGAGAATTCAGCGAGCAGGAGTCGCCTCCGAGTCTCCCGATGAGCCCTGGGGCCACAGCGGGGGCACACTCCCACGGAAAAGCCTAAAGCGCCGGAATCGCCCCCTCGGCCCCAGTCCCGGGGCAGGAAACGCGGAGCGGAGCCGCGGAGGGGCGCGGAGGGGCCGGGCCGGCCACCGCGGAGGGGGAGCGGGGGGGCGGGGGGTTCCCCTCTGCTCCCGCCCTTCTCATGATGTTGCCCCCACGCACAGTACAGGCAGCAAACCCCCAAAGCCCCGCCAGAGAGACAATGCAACAAAAGAGACAATGGCACGAAAAAGGGAGAGAAAAAAGGATTTCAGGATGCTGGAGACGGTAAGAGAGGTGCTGTGATTCGGCGGAATTTACGGGTAAGCCGGATCTAGTTATAGTAAAATATACATTTTTTTTCTTGGCTGGCTGAAAAAGCACTGAAAAGATGCCAGCCCTTTTATTAGTAAACAGTCCCAGCGGCCTGCCTTTTTTCTCTGCCTTATGCAGTATTTATCACAACTGGTTTACAAGAACGAAAGAAATGTGTTTACAGCTGTAACCATAGCCAAAATTGGTGCGGTATAATGCCATAAATGCCTCTGGGGTGTTGTTGCTCTTGCCCTCACCCCCGCCCCCCTGGAGTTTAAGAAACTGAACCTTTCCAGAGGGCCCTTAAGCATCCGTGCCTGCACAGTAAATCAGAACAAATAGAAATACTGAGGGCATACGGATAGACGCGTGGTGGAGAGAGCAGCCGTTCGGTTTTGGCTGGCAGTGGAGAGGCCATGGAGGTGGCATGGGATAAGGGCTAGCAGTAGCAGAGCTTTGCGCCTAGGAGAGGATGTTGTAGTTCATGTGGGAGGGAGGAGCTTGAGGGTGTGTGTGTGTTCGTGAGCAGAGAGAGGTGGTGGGGTAGAAGAGCCTTTTGGATTTCAAAACAAGCAAGAACCGAGCGTGAGAACAGAGGGACGTAGGAGCCGGCTGGAAATGCACCTGCAGAAATAGAGGGGGCAGCCCCCCCTGGGGCTGGCGGCAGGGGACATGGCTTTCCATCCATCCATCTATCCATCCATCCCCGAGGTTAACGTTTCTCAGGACACCTCTCTGAAGCGTGTTGGTGCTGTTCTCTCTCCCTGCAGTCGGCTGGGTGCCCCGGGACGGATGGATGCCCGGCCTTTACCTCCCCTTTCCTTTTCCGCATACGTAAACCGAATATGAGGTCGCAACCCACATCCCACCGCCCTCTCTCCTCCTCTATCCACGGACTCTTTTTTTTTTTTTCCGGGGGGGTGGGGGGGGGGAGGGTTGAGCCGATGGTCCGCGCGGCTCCCCAGGGGG